GCAAGCACTGGGACCCCATATGGATGCCAGTTCATGTCCAGGGTGCTCCACTTCCCATCCAGCTCCCTGCTTATGGTCTAGGGAAGCAGTAAAGAATGACCTAAAGCCTCAGACCCTGTACCTGCATGGAAAACCTGGAAGAAGCTCATATATATATATATGTATATATATATTTATTTATTTTATGCAAAGTCAGATATACAGAGAGGAGAGACAGAGAGGAAGATCTTCCGTCTGATGATTCACTCCCCAAGTGAATGCAACGGCCAATGCTGTGCCAATCCGAAGCCAGGAGCCAGAAACTTCCTCCAGGTCTCCCACGCGGGTGCAGGGTCCCAAGGCTTTGGGCCATCCTCGACTGCTTTTCCAGGCCACAAGCAGGGAGCTGGATGGGAAGTGGAGCAGCCGGGATGAGAACCAGCAGCCATATGGGATCCTGGCATGTTCAAGAGGAGGACTTTAGCCACCAGGCTAGCATGCCAGACTCAGATGGAAGATCTTTTACTCTGTTTCACCCCTTCTCTCTGTAAATCTGCATTTCCAATAAAGTTTTCCAAAAAAAGAAAAAAGAAATCCTAATTTGATTACCAGTTGCTCCAAGCTTCCTTCCAATCCAGTGTCCTGCTAGCGTGCCTGGAACCTGTGGCTTACGTCCATTGGGCTTCTGCCTGCCTAGTCTGAAACCCAGGTGTAGTTCTAGTCTCCTGGCTTTGGCCTGGCCCAGCCCGGGCCATTGTGGCCATCTGGGAGGTGAATCAACGATAGGAGGAGCGCTCTCTCTCCTCCCTGACCTGAGCAGCAGGGAAGGGACAGGCATCTGGATTAGTCATCACATAACCATCCGGCATTAACCATGCAGGCCTCTAATCTGGATTTGCCTCCTGCTGCGTGGGCTCCGACTCTGGACTCCACCTCCCTGAGTTTCTACCTCCTTTCGCAGAGGGATGCTACAGGCCTTGGCAAGCTGTGCCAGTAAAGCAGTCACACCAGCCAGGCTGTGTGGGGCCCCCAGTGCACTAGCCAGGGGAGTGATGACGGCCAGGCGTCTGTTAGTTGGTGCTCCTGGAATACACACGTCATTGAGGCAGGAAATTGTAATGGTTAATGAACTACAAAGTTCCCAACTTTTGATTTTTGTAAGATTTATTTATTTATTTTTATTGGAAAGGCAGATTTACAGACAGGAGAGAGAGCCATCTTCCGTCCAGTGGTGGAGGTAGATATTCCATTTGCTGATTCACTGCTTACATGCAGCACATAGCAAGGGACTAGGACAGGCCAAATCCAGGCGCCTGGAACTCCCACACGGGTAGCAGGATTCAAGCACTTGGCTCATCCTCTGCTGCCTTCCAGGTGCACTTAGCAGGAAACTGGATCGGAAATGGAGTCACCAGGACTGGAACTGCTGAATTGCAGGGAGACAGGCACTGCAAGCAGTGGCCTAACCCACTGTGCCACATGGCAAGGCCCTGAAAGTCATTTCTTGCTCAGACAAAGTGGGCGGTGGCTCTGGATAACTGTCCAGGGCAGATGTTCTCCGTGCCATGGCACAGCCGCCCGGCCCACTTCCTTCTTGCTACACCTCTGTGCTTGTACAGTGCCCTCTGGTGTCCAGACATGGACAACATGGCGTGGGATGCTGTTCCCTGAGCTTCTCAGGCCACATTCAACGCCTCCACACCCACGTAACAGCCAGAACATTTGGTGTCACCATGGCTGAACGGGAAACAGAGGAGGGCATTATGGCCATTACCGCTGTACCCTTTCATTGGTGGCGCTGAAACTCCAATGACAGGTGGAAAAAAGATTTCCTTTCTATAGTCAACAAGGGTTTACTGAGCAGCTAGGATGTGGCAGGCCTGGTGAGAGGGACTGCAAACACAGCAGTGCACCTGCTGGATGGAAATCCTGCCGCCTCTGGGAGCCCACTTTCTGCTGCTGCGTGTGTGCAATTCAAGTTCATGGAAAATTCAATGAAGAGTTTTAGTGTGGTGTGGGGGCTCGGGGAGCTTGGTATCCACGCACTCTTCCATATCCCCGTCATGGAAGGGACTGAGGCAGGACGAGGGTGAGGGCAGTGGGGGACAGCAGGTGGGAAGAGACATTGGCTTCTGGAGATGGGGTCTGCAGGGACTAGCTGGAGATGGCATGGAGGTGGGGGGTCAAGATGGGACCTTGGGGCCCGGCGGCGTGGTCTAGTGGCTAAAGTCCTCGCCTCGAACGCACCAGGATCCCATATGGGCACTGGTTCTAGTTCCGGCAGCTCCACTTCCCATCCAGCTCCCTGCTTGTGGCCTGGGAAAGCAGTTGAGGACGGCCCAAAGCCTTGGGACCTTGCACCCGTGTGGGAGACCTGGAGGAAGTTTCTGGCTCCTGGCTTCGGATCGGCACAGCACCAGCCATTGTGGTCACTTGGTGAGTGAATCATAGGACAGAAGATCTTCCTCTCTGTCTCTCCTCTTTGTATATCTGACTTTGCAATAAAAAATGAATAAATCTTTTAAAAATGATAGAACCTTGGGACCCAGCTCGGTAGCCTAATGGCTGAATCCTCACCTTGCATCTGCCAGGATCCCATATGAGCGCCAGTTTGTCCTGCTTGCTCCACTTCCCCATCCGGCTCCTTGCTTGTGGCCTGGGAGGGCAGTGGAGGGTGGGCCAAAGCCTTGGGACACTGTGTCCATGTGGGAGACACAAAGGAAGTTCTTGGCTCCTCCTGGCTTCACATTGGATTGAATCCGGCTGCTGTGGCCACTTGGGGACTGAACCAGTAGATGGAGGATCTTTCTCTCTGTCTCTCCTTCTCTTTCTGTATCTGCCTTTCCAATAGAAAAATAAAATCTAAAAAAAAAAAATGATGGAACCATGTGTGTGAGACAAAGGTGCTATGCATCTGGGTCTCTGCAAGGTGGCGAGGGAGTAAGGTGGCATGCCTCTAAGGTTAGGACTTTGGATGTTTGATAGATGGCATTGAAGGGACTGGCACCATGGCATAGTAGGTTAAGGCTCTGCCGGCATACCATATGGGTTCTGGTTCAAGTCCCACCTTCTCCACTTCCCTAGAACAGTGGAGGATGGCCCAAAGCCTTGAGACCCTACCCCGGTGTGGGAGACGCAGGAGCGCCTGGCTCTGGATCAGCTCAATTCTGGCCACTGGGCCATTTGGGGAGAGTGGATAGATCATGCTGGGTCCCCTTCTCTCTGTAAATCTGCTTTTTAAATAATTTTTTTAAAAGGAAAAACGTTAAAAGCAAAATGGTATTTAAGCCCTGGGTAGGGCTGGGATCCCTGGCAGGTGTGGGACAGAAAACCAAGAGAAACCGAAGCCTTGGCAGCACAGGGCTAAGAGGTGAATGAGGCAGAGCCAGCTGTCACGGGCAGCAAACGCTATGAGACAGAGCGCAAGTTATTTGGATAGCATATAAAAGGAAGCCTTATCTTTCAGGTTTCAGGTGGGGGTGAAGGCAGGAAAGGCTTCCTGAAAGAGGAGGCTCCTGAGCTGACAGCCCAAGCCAGAGAGTCACGAGGGAAATCAGCAACAAAGGTAGGAGTGTTCCTGGCTGAGGGCACAGCCTAAGCAAGAGTCTTGGCGGGGAGGACAGAGAACTGAAGTGGCTCAGAGTGCCAGGGAGGGATTTCAGATGAGTCATCTCCCAGAGATGTGTCACCAGCCAAGCCCAGGTGCAGACCTGGGCCTGCTACCCTCTGTGACCCTGGCAGCCACAGCCTGCCTTTCCCCTTTCCTGGGCCCCTGCCTCATAGACAAGCCCGTGAGGCAGCCAGCTGCCTTGGCCTGGCCCCAGCGAGCCCTGCGGAAAGCCTGGCTTGCTGCTGCAGACTTGCAGGGTGTGGTCTCATGATGATCTTATTAATTACACTATTGACCTTATTGCATCATAGTGGTTACAGAACCCTGCCGCCCGCCCGGCCTAAACACTCCGTTTACTTAACTGTCAAAATGGAGATAAAAAACAGCATCTGCCCCAGAAGGCTGTGACGTAGGAAGCGCTTGGATTCTCTGGCATTAGGAAGGTTTCGAGTGAGCTCAAGTGGCAAAGACTGACAGCTGCCACTCCCTTTAGTCCTGACAGGTGCCTAAGATGGGGGGAGCATCTTGCTCGCAATGTCAGGAGAAGACGGGAGATGCTCGGGAGATGGGCCAGAATCCCCGAGAGGGGCTGAAGGTCAGATAGGCAGGCCCCAGAAGGGCAAGGGGGCATGCCCAGGGTGGAAGCCTGACCAGAGGCCGCCATGCCCCTGCTCCATTCTGTCTCCCTCCCCGCCTCAGGGAGCTCGGAACATCCGGTCTGAGGAGCCAGGCCTTGGCCAGAGAACTCTTCCGTGCCAGGGCCCTCTTTAGGCACCCTGGGGCCCCATGCTTCTAGTGACACTGGGGCTGCTGAGCGGAGTGGGACGGGGGACGGAAGCCTCAGTCCTCGCCACAGCCTGGGCGCCACCCATCACCGGGTGTCCCCCATCGCTGGGTGCCCCCCATCACTGGGCACCCCTCATCCCTGGGCGCCCTCCATCACCGGGTGCCCCTCATCACTGGGCGCCCCTCATCCCTGGGTGCCCCTCATCACTGGGCGCCCCTCATCCCTGGGTGCCCCTCATCACTGGGCGCCCCTCATCCCTGGGCGCCGCCCATCACCGGGTGCCCCTCATCCCTGGGTGTCCCCCATCACTGGGCGCCCCTCATCCCTGGGTGCCCCTCATCACTGGGCGCCCCCCATCACCGGGCGCCCCTCATCCCTGGGCGCCCCCCATCACCGGGCGCCCCTCGGGAGCGTGTGTGGCGACGACGCCCACAGAGGCCGCTCCCTGAGGCGACGACCGAGGAGCGCCAGCGGCGGCGGAAGCGCGCGGGGCGGAGCCCGGGGTCCCGCTCGGTGGCCGGCTCTAGGACCGCGCGGACGGACGGTGGCCCCGCCGCCCGGGGCGTTTAACCCCAAAGTGTCCGCCTGAGTCGCGGCCCCGCCCTCGGCAGCCGGACGCCGCCGGAGGCCCGGGAGGCGCAGACCGCGGCCAGCGCCGGACGCGCGAGCGAGGAGGCCGCGAGCGCCCTGCCGGACCCGGAGCAGCGCCGGACGCGCGAGCGACGAGGCGGTGAGCGCCCTGCCCCGACTGCCCGGCACCCCGCGACCCCGGCGGCCTCGCGGGCGTCCTCCCGCAGGACCTGCCCCACTCGGCGGGCCCGTCCCCGGGACACCCTCTCCGCCCAGAGACGCCGAGGCAGGACCCGGTAGATTGTTGCCTGGGGAGGCCAGAGGGGCGCCCCGGATTCCAGTGGAGACCCCCTGTTACCACGGGCCTCCTCTAGCTGCCCAAACCCACATTTCAGATTTCCTAACCCCGCCCAAAGCCGTCAGGCCGGGACCACCTCTCCCCGGCGCTGGACCCCTAACTCCACGAGCGGAGCTCCCACACACGCCAGGCATTGCTCATGCCACTCTGGGGGTCTCCCCACCTACAGAGCCCCACTAGCCCGCACCCCTGCTCTGACTGCAGGGTCCCACCATCGCACCGTGTCAGGAGCCGCCCCCACCCACGGGGCCGCGCCGTCTTCCAACACCCGGAAATGCACGTTTTTGCAGGACCGGGCGGTGAGGGCGGGGGGAGCGGCAAGGCTCGGGCTGGACAGCTGACCCCCTTTTCCCCTTCAGGAGCCTGAGGCGCAGCCATGTTCCTGGTTAACTCGTTCCTGAAGGGCGGTGGCGGCGGCGGGGGAGGCGGGGGCCTGGGCGGGGGCCTAGGGAATGTGCTCGGAGGTCTGATCAGCGGGGCCGGGGGCGGCGGCGGCGGAGGCGGCGCGGCCGGCGGTGGAACAGCCATGCGCATCCTGGGCGGGGTCATCAGCGCCATCAGGTGAGGCGGGGCCTGTGGGTGGGAGGGGCCTTGGGAGGGGCCGGGGGCGCGTGGGCGGGGCCGGGGCGCGTGGGCGGGGCTTTCCTCCTGCTAGAGGGATGTCACTTCATGGGGCCTGGGATTGCTGTGGGTTTGCTCTGCGGGCCTCGGGAGGATGGTCCCCGAGTCCATTTTGGGAGGTGGGATTTATGGGAATGGGGATGCTGTCGGCCCTGCCAAGCTGGAGAGGAACGTTAGCGGGTAGAGTTAAGGAGTCTGCAGTTTGAGCTAGGTGGGTCCCGGAAACGCTAATGTTTCATGGGATAGCGGAAAAGGCCCAGAAGGACCCATATCTAGGCAGGAATTAGCTGTATGAATGGAGAAAAATACCCTCGCAGGGGTAGAGCAGGTTTTAGGATCTAATTGGTCAGCAGTCATCACTCCATCCCCTTAAAGTGGGCGAGTGCTAGTGGACCTCAGGCCGGGATGCTGGGGAGCCAGCCCCTCCGCCAAGGGGTGATGGCGTAGAGCCCCCAGCAGGTGGGACTCACGGGGGATGAAGCCTTGGGAAGCCGGTGCAGACTGTATGACGGGGCCAGGGAGGGGTGTCCCAGGGAGGGCTGTCCCGAGCGGGCAGTTCCAGCTCCGCGCGCTGCCCGTTGGTGGCCACGCCCCCTGGTGCTAACTCCCCCTTGTCTTTTCGCAGTGAGGCAGCTGCGCAGTACAACCCGGAGCCCCCGGTAAGCTGCTCTCTGCAGCCAGATCCCCCTCTGGCGCCGAGACCTTCCTGGTCCCGTCCCTGCCTGACCTCTCGACCGTGTTTGTGACCATTCTTCGGCCATTAAGGGCCTTCCCTGCCTTATTCTTAAGTTTACCCCGGATCTCACCCACACTGCTCTGCTCCTTGCTCAGCCTCCTTTAATCACACGCTGCCCCGGCCTCTCGGACTTTGTTACCAAAGGTGTTGGGGGGTGGGACAGGGTCCCTCTCCCCTAACCTGCGCTGAGAGTTCCCTCCCCCTGCAGCCCCCACGGAGCCATTATTCCAACATTGAGGCCAACGAGAGTGAAGAGGTCCGGCAGTTCCGGAAACTGTTTGCCCAGCTGGCCGGAGATGTGAGTCAACCCACTCCACGACCCTGGCCTGCGCGGAGCCTTCCACGCCCTTCCAGACAGCCCTTGCACGCGTGTCTGGTCAAGCCAGGCCCTGAGGTCCCGTTCTCCTTCCCTACCCGCCCAGATCCCTCTTTGCCGCCCTTGACCTATCTTTGCTTTACCCACAGGACATGGAGGTGAGCGCCACAGAACTCATGAACATTCTCAACAAGGTTGTGACCCGACGTGAGTACCTGGGGTCCACGTGAGGGGCGGGCCTAGAGGCCTGGGGCTGCAGTGACCATGACCTTTGTCCTCTTATCTTCCAACTGTTGCCCACAGACCCTGATCTCAAGACCGATGGCTTCGGCATTGACACGTGTCGCAGCATGGTGGCCGTGATGGATGTATCCTTGGGGACCGCCTGGGGGAGGCCCTGGGTGAACAGAGGGTTTTCAGAGGGTGTATGTGAGACCTAGCTGTCACAGCCTCAGACGTGAGCCTGCGTACAACAGACCCCGTCCCCACCTACAGACACATGGCAGTTGGTGATGCGTCAGCTAGCCCTCTGCTTGTGTTGACCAGCGGGTCCTCAGCAGCCGTACTGCTGGAGAGGCAGATTTGGGAGGCTCCAGTGTTTGGCATGGAGGCTTGTGGAGAAGCAGCCATTTGTCGGAGGTTAGAACTGAAGAGTCAGCACCAGAACGGGCATTTGGACTGAGGAGTGAAGTTTGTAATACTCTTGTGCCCTTCCACGGCACCCCCACACAGGAAGGGGCATGGAAGGAGGGTCATGGGAAACACGTATGTATGCAGAAGGCCTCTGATGCTAGCACATACACACATACACACATACATGGTGTGTGGTCACTCGAATCCCGCTCTGGGTGAAAGAGGCCTGCTTCTAGCCTGGACCTAGGTGACCAAGCCACTTTGTGTGCTTTCCCTGTCCGTGCACTGGAGTCCGCAATCCCAGTGACACCAAACTCGCCACCCGCAGAAGGCTGAGGCCAGCACATCACAAGTGGGCATGCACATCAACTGTGGCCAGGATCTCACTTGGGGAGGACTTGAGCTTTGGGTCTGTTTCCTGAGAGCTGAGAGAAAGGGGGTGTTTCTGAGATGTCTGGCCCACACTCAGTAACTTGATGAGGCTTGGTCATGGCCCACAGTGCTTGAGCACTTACTAAAGGCCAGACCGTGGCTCCAGTGCTTTCTGCCAGTCTCATTCAGTTTCACCACAAACCCAGCAGGTTCTTGCTAACTTTGCTGACTTCCTTCCTTAGAATTTTAACACTCCTTTTTTTTTTTTCCCTGTGTCTTAACATTCAATGAGTCAATATCAAGAATGTTATAAACGAGGAACTAGCATAGCAGTGAGGCTAATTTTTTAGGTGAGGCATTTGGAGTTTAGAGTCCGACGTAATTTGATGGCGTTAAGGAGAATTCTTGTTTGGAAACATAATTGCGAAGGCACATGGCTGAAACAGATAGTAAGGCCACAGCCTGGGTGGCATGAGGTGGGTGGGGCAGGAGTTGCAGCCTGGGTCCCTCCCCTCACTCGCAGCCTCATCATCATGTACAAAGTCACATTGTTCTTGACAACCTGCCACCAGAGTGACACCACGGGCAAGTTGGGCTTCGAGGAGTTCAAGTACCTATGGAACAACATCAAAAAGTGGCAGGTGTGTGGCAGCCAGACCCCCACCCACATCCTTGGCAATCCCTTGCTTCCAGACCCCCAGTTGAACCCTGACCTCTGTGTCCCCACAGGCCATATACAAACAGTTTGACATGGATCGATCAGGAACCATCTGCAGCAGTGAGCTGCCGGGTGCCTTTGAGGCAGCAGGTGTGCCCGGCAGGGACCTCGGGGAGAACGGGGGGACATGGGAACGAGTGGAGGTGTGTGCTTCTCCCTTAAGTGCACCCCTGAATGCTGACCCATTCCCAGGGTTCCGCCTGAACACACATCTCTACAACATGATCATCCGGCGCTATTCCGACAAGAGCGGCAACATGGATTTTGACAACTTCATCAGCTGCTTGGTCAGGCTGGACGCCATGTTCCGTGAGTGACTCTCTGACTTTCTTCCCTGGTGGGAAAAATCTCTAAACATGACAGATATCCGTCGCCCTGGGTGACAGTGCCAGCTGGCTCTGTCTGGGCTAGGGGAAACCTGGACATAGCAATGGGGACACATGAGGTAGAGGCAGAGGGTGTTGAGGCTGTGTCTAGGGGAGCCCAGAGAGCATTTGATGGATCCAGGGGCACTTCCTGGAGGAGAGTACATGCAGATTGAGACCCGAGGCAGAATAAGCTCAGTGAGAGGGAAGGGACGAGTGTTGGGGCCAAGGAGGCAGAGGCCTACGAAGAGAAGGCAGTGCTTCTCGTGTTTTCTGTTGGACTCTGCTCAGAGTGCGAGGAGAGTAGGGGCGAGGAAGCCTAAGCTGGGGATGGGCTGGTAGGGACTAAGCCATGAGGGCATTCGTACCTGTTAATGTGCTGGGTTTTTTTCTTAAGTATTAATTTTATTTGATAGATAAAGGGGAGAGGGGAGAATGAGACAAAGATCTCACTGCTGAACTGGTTAACTGCTGCTGAACTGCTGGTTCAGTCCCCAAATGCCCACAGCAGTTACAGCTGGGCCAGGCCTAAGCAGGGAGCTGGGAAGTTGAACTGAGGCTCCCGTGAGGGCTTCTGGGATCCTGTTAGTTGAGCCATCACCACTGTCTCCCAGTGTCACAGTAGGAAGTAGAGCCACAACTGGAACTCAGGTGAGCCTATATGACCTGCAGGCATCCCCAGCGGTTTCTTAGCTACCATGCCAATGTGCTGGACTCTCAAGGCATTCCTGAGAGGTAGGAGTTTCTGTCCGTACTTTATGGAGGTGGAACTCAGGATTTAAGAAGACAAAATGTTATACTCACAGTCATCCAGCCAGGAACTTGGGAAGGAATTTGAACTTGGGTCTCTGGGACTGGGCTGAGTGCAGTGAGAGGCAGGTGCCATGCAGGGCTGGGAGTGCCAGGAGGTAGGTGCCATGCAGGTCTGGGAGTGCCAGGAGGTAGGTTCCACGCAGGGCTGTGTGCGCTGGGAGGCAGGCGCCATGCAGGGCTGGGAGTGCCAGGAGGTAGGTGCTGTGCTACACAGGGCTGTGAGTGCCAGGAGGCAGGTTCCACGCAGGGCTGTGTGCGCTGGGAGGTAGGTGCCACGCAGGGCTGGGAGTGCCAGGAGGTAGGTTCCATGCAGGGCTGTGAGTGCCAGGAGGCAGGTGCTACGCAGGGCTGTGTGCGCTGGGAGGCAGGCGCCATGCAGGGCTGGGAGTGCCAGGGGACAGGTTCCACGCAGGGCTGTGAGTGCCAGGAGGCAGGTGCCACGCAGGGCTGTGTGCGCTGGGAGGCAGGCGCCATGCAGGGCTGTGTGCACTGGGAGGCAGGCGCCATGCAGGGCTGGGAGTGTCATGAGGCAGGTGCCATGCAGGGCTGTGAGCACCAGGAGACAGGTGCCATGCAGGCCTGGGAGTGCCAGGAGGTGGGCACTGGACAGAGTTGTGAGCTCCGAGTTCACAGGTACTCAGACTGGACTGGGGAACTGGAGAGCCATGGATACTAGGCAGGGGAGGAATCAGATCTAGTTTGGCTCCAGAAGGGCTGGTATGGTGGTGCAGCAAGCTGAACTGATACCTGCAATGCCAGCATCCCACAGTGGAATGCCAGTTGGAGTCCCAGCTGCCCTGCTAATGCACCTGGGAGGCAGCTAATACGTGGGCCTCTGCCACCTGTGGAGAGATCCAAGCGGAGCTTCAGGCTCCGGGTTTTAGCCTGGACCAGCCCCAGCCGTTGTGGCCATTGGGAGAGTGAATGATTTCTCTTTTCCCCTTCTGTCAAATAAATAAATCTTAGGGAAAAAAAGGATTAAAGAAAGAAAAAGGTTGACTAAGGTTGACTGTAGAAAGATCCTCTGCGAGGACAATGGAGTCAGTGCAACGTGTGTGTCAGGAAAGGAGGCAGCCATGTGAGACGTCAGGCCACATGGGGAAGGTGGGGTGGACAGCAGAGCAGGTGATGCTAAGAGTAGCCAGTGAGAAGGTCTTAGAAGCAGCCCTTAGTGCCACAGCCAGGGCAGTGCCCAGAGCTGGGCGAGTGTGTGTGTATCTGAGGAGGCAGGGGCAGTGCCAGCAGCACCTAGGGAGGCTGGCTGTGGCTGGGAACATGGAGTCAAGTTTCAGGGCAAGTTGGGGATCACCCAGACTCCAGGGGCAGGAAATGGAGTCCTCCGAGCTTCCTCTAGGCAGCAGCCTGCTTGGGTTAGGCCCTGAGACGACAGGGCACAGGCCAGAGGGGCGTGCTGGGACAGAAGACATGCAGGCCAGCAGGCAGAGACTACCACTGAGCCGAGTAACAGCCTGGTTTCAATCCCACCTGCTCCCTTTCTCGCTCTGTGACCTGGGGACACCACTTGCCATCACTCCCTGCCAGCCCCATTTATAAGAAAGACACTGGCACACAGCTAGGCCATGCAGGTTTATGTGGAGAGCCCTTGGCACAAAGTAGAAACTTAAGGCCATGCCAGCCATGGCTATCACCAGCTTCCCACGTATTGGGGCAATTGGTATCCAAGAAGCAGCCTCTCCCCCTCCTCCCCTCCCCTGCAGGCGCCTTCAAATCTCTTGACAAAGACGGCACTGGACAAATCCAGGTGAACATCCAGGAGGTGAGCGAGCCGTTCCTGCTGGGGCATGGGTGCCTCAGGGGGACCCCAACTTCCACCCAGCTCCTGGCCAAGGGCCAAGAAGGGCTCTGGTGTCTGGGTTCCCTGCTCCTCATACTCTGCCTTCTCCCCAGTGGCTGCAGCTGACCATGTACTCCTGAACAGAAGCCGCACTCCTGTCCCCTTACCGCCTCGCTGTCACCTTGGACCCCTGGTCTCTCCAACAGCTGACCCTGGCTACAGTCACGTCTGCAGGGGGCCCTATCAACCCGCAGGCCTTTTGTTCTCCCAGCCCTCAGCATCCAGCTTCTCAGGCAACAGGCAACATGCCCCAACGTGCCACACCCTCTATTACCCCCGGCTCCAGGACATTTTAGCACATGCTGCCCAAGGGTCACCCACTCCCGCCACACCCGTCTTATACCTTCTCCGTAACCTCTGTCCTATACCTGTGCCAAACCCAACACTTGTGTGACTTCCACACCCATGGGCTCTCTCTCAGCCCTGGAAGGATCACTCAAGGCCTGACATACTCTGACAGATTCAGTCACTCCCCCAGGCAGCCACTGCGGGCCTGCACACCCCGGTGCCTTCATCTGTCTGCTCCCCCAGCCTGCCAGGCCTAGCAGGAAATAAATGTAACCCCTGTTGCTATTGTCGAAGGGGTCTCTTGTGTGACTCAGGCTTAGGGAAAAGGTGGTCCGGGCCAGGCTGGCTTCCCTTGGTCCCCTGTCTGTCCTCAGGACCTGATCTGCACGTTTCCACATCCTTTCTCTGCATCCTTTTTCTCCTCCCGGGTTCAGGTGATCTATGGCCTGCTTCTTGCTCAGTCCCTCCCTGATCCCGTGGTGGCTGAGCCTGGGTGGTTTCTGCTCCACCGTCCAGGCTGTCAAGAGGGCTCAGGGTGGGCTCTGGCTCAGTCTGCTGAGGCCTTGCTGGCCACTCCTTCAGTCTCAGACCTTGGGTGGCTTGCCTCTGCCTCTAGTGTGTCATGGTCTCCCTTCTTGCCCTCACCTCTCCCAGTGTTTGCAGTACACAGCAGGACACAGAACCATGTCCCACTCAAGGCCACCACTGCAGGTCCCTGAGCCTTGTGGGACAGCCCAAGGGTATTTGGAGACCTCAGGGGAGTGACAGCAAAATCCTGGGGGGAGACCTGGTCTGGCACACAGGGGCCAGGGCTGGGGTAATGGGCCATCCACAGGGCAGAGGTCCCTGGCTGATGGTAACATGGCCTGGAACACACACACACACACACACACATTCACACATGGAGAAGCCAGAGCTGGGCTGTATTCCCCAGGAAGCCAGCACATTTATTAATGGTTAAATCTCCCAGGTGTTCCACACTTCCTGGTCTCACTTCTTGTGGGGGAAGGAGGCCCAGCCGAGGCAGTACAAGCTGTAGACAGTACCTGGAATGAGGGGGGTACAAACTGAGACCCTAAACTCCTCCCTGAACCCCATGTCCAAATTCCTTTCCAAACTGGACTCCAGGGCCCAGTGCACTAATCAGTGGCTAATCTTCCCCCTTCAAGCACAGGTATCCCATATGGGTGCTGGTTTATGTCCCAGCTGCTCCACTTCCGTACAACCCTGCTTGTGGTCTGGGAAAGCAGCAGAGGCTGGCCCCAAGGCCTTGGGAGCCTGCATCCGAGTGGGAGACCCAGAAGAGGCTCCTGGCTCTTAGCTCCAGCCATTGGGGCCTCTTGAGGAGTGAACCAGCAAAGATCGTTGTCTCCTCTCTGTAAATCCACCTTTCCAATAAAAATCTTTACAAACAAACAATGCTAGACTCCAGGTGGGGATCCCGTGGCATGGATGTAGACTGGGCTGGGTGCTTTCTCCATTCGGACCCTAGACCCATCACCAGCCCGGCTTCCCTCTGGGGAACAGTAGCCCATGACCTGAGTGGCTCTCTCCTCTCTGATTGCCAGTCATGGTCAAGTCTAGCTAGCTCAGGACTCAACCTCCTTCCCTTAATACCCCTCTGTAACCCCTATGCCATCAGGTCTCCTCCTGAAACTCCAATCGAACCAGAGGCCATCCCCTCCCCTTGCAGCCCAGCCCAGGCAGCATTTGCACTCACCTCCCAGAGTCAGGGCCATAGTCAGCCGGTAGAGAAGGTTGTCAATCCCACCGCCCTTCAAGTGCACCGGGAGGTCATTGTTGGCCTGGGGGTGGGGGTGGCCAATGAGACGGGGGGTGCTGCCTCTGCCACACACCGCCACCCTCTAGCCAAGGTCTTTCCCCTCACCACCCCCTACCTGGAAGATTTTCTGCTTCTCTGCAACTCGGTTCTCAAAGTGGTTCCGGGATGTTGAGCCGAAGGAGCGGATCAGCGCCTGGGACATCTGGGAGGGTGGAGAGCACTGGGTATTAAGGCACCTGGAGGGGTGTCTTGAAGTGGGGATGGACAGGGAAGCTTGGGTCTCTGCGGCCTGAACATGGGTCCTCACAGAGACAAGATTCCACTTGCTAGGGAAGGTGGGGAGGAGGCCTTTTGGAAAGAAGGTCCTTGGGGAGGTTACCAGGCTGCCCCGAAGAGGAGTGGACCCAGCAGCAAGTCCCACGCTCTAAGAGTTCAAACCTTGATATTTCTGGGCAGAGGGGCTCCCTGGACTAATAATGAGAGATCACCTCCCTGAAATGTGGGGGCTGGACTGGAGGTCCCAACCCCAGGGTTTCCAGGCTGCCCATGAAGCCTCCAGTTGGGTTAGGGGTATTAAGCTCCCAGCACTAATCGCCTTAGGGAAAGGCTAGAGGTTTAAACCCTGGGTTCCGGCCGTGTTAAGGGTCCCAGCTACCCCGTGTTAGCGGACAGAAGCTTGGACTGGGGACAGGGGTGGCAGATCCTGGTCCCGGGTGTTTAGGGAGTCGCGTGTTAAGGCGAGGGCTTCCGAGGTGGGGGCTCCCCCCGGGCCCAGCGCTGAGAGCCCTCACCCGCAGGGCCCTCATCCTGCGTCGTCCTCTTCGGCCGCCGCCACCCGAGTCACCTCCCCTCCCAGCCCAAGGACACCCGGCGCCCTGCCCTCCCTTCCCGGGAATCCCGGGCCACGCCCGCCGCGGGTGGACAGCTGCAGGGGCGTGACGCGGGGTGGGGCGCAGAGAAGGCCCCGCCCGTGGGGCGCGTCCCGCTCGCCGCGCGCCCAAGGACGTGCGGGCGCCTGGCCGCCGCGCCCTCCGGGACACACCTGTCTCCTCGGGATTGCTGGACAAAGACAGGCGAGGAGATCCTGGGGCGAGTGCGAGTCCTTTCCGGGGTTCTCGCTCCTGGCTCAAGGGAGCGAGGGCCCAGGGAAGCCAGGATTCGAGCTCCATGTCTTATCTTCGCGAAGATCGACCCTCACTTTCCACGTCTGTAGCGGGAGAGCCTAACTTAAGGGCTCAGGACGAATAGGAGCCATTATTTTTATATGGGAATTGGACCCTGCACCCGCGTGGGAGACCCTGAAGAAGCTCCTGGCTTCGGATCAGTTCTGGCCATTGCAACCATTTAGGTAGTGAGCCAGCAGATGGAGGATCTCTCCAGGTGAGAGATGAGAACCAAGTACTGAGGCACCCAGATGTGGCACTTGGGCAACTGAGAGACACAGGAGCAGGGAGGTTGCACTCTAACCTTCACCTTGCCTTTGTGACCTGCCTTGCCTGAAAGGTGGTGATGAGACCCCTCATTCCCGAGGGATCCTGCCTTATTCCCAAAGATGGATGCCCTTTCCTGCCACCACATCAGCCCCCTTGTGTCTGTTCTTCCTGGAGCCAGCTTCCCCTGGGGCACTGGCTCTCCACTTCACACACCTTCATCCTTGTGAACTTCCACTTCAATAAACGTGTCGGTTTCTCCTTGCCCCTCCTTGTTTTCTGTAGGAACAACAGCCCTGACCCTCCTGGTGGGCAAGGGAAACATACCTCCCATACAGGACACAGTGGTTCACATCCCAGAGCTCGTGTGCTCACCTGGCCATATGCTACTCACTGAGGGTGAAGGAAGGACTATTAAAAATTTATTTTAAATTGAAAGGCGGATTTGCGGAAAGAAGGAGCGACAGACAAAGGGAGATCTTCCATCTGCCGGTTCGCTCCCCAAATGGCCAACACAGTGGCTAGAGCTGAGCAGATCCAAAGCCAGGAGCTAGCAGCTTCTTCCAGGGCTCCCAAATGGATAGAGGGTCCTAGGGCCATTAGCCATCCCCAGTTGCCTTTCCAGGCCATAAACAGGGAGTTGGATCAGAACTGGAATAATAGAAACAGGAACCGGTGTCTGAATGGGATGCTAATGCTTGTCCATGGAAGATGAGCTGTTGAGCCACCATGCCAGTCTTGCAAGGGAGGGACTTTGTTTTCACAAAATGCATGTTTCAACTTTCATTTTTGGCTCGTGGGGAATGCGTGAAGTTGACTGTTTACAAGTTTAGTCTGCATACACAGTGACTGCACCGCATGCACACCATCTGTCTCGCCTTCCTCAGGTTTGACCCACTCCCCCTTCCCCTCCGTAGAAACTAAAGTAGCTGCTTTACTTCTCCAGCTGTTGTTGTTTTTACTCTGCTGCAACCCCAGCACCTGGCATAGAGCTGGACATGATCAATATTTGCTAAAAAAAAAAAAAAAAAAAAAAAGAAAAACAAGCTGGATGTCTTCTGACTTGGTCACGCCTGCCTCTTGAGGAAGCAGAACCTTCATGCTTCTAGCTTATGCCGGGCTCGGGCAAATTTCCAGGCATCTCAGTGAGTGGCTGTGGGTGTGTGTGAGCCCTCGCCTGTCCCCTTAGGAGCTACGGTTGTGCCATCTTTGTTCCGGGAGGAAAAAGATAAAAAAATCTAGGCAGTGGGCAGCTGCAGGTTTGATGTCTTAGTCTGTTGCTTTAGCAAAGTACTTGAGACTCGGTCATTCAGAGAGGAAGAGTTGGCTTGTGGTTCTGGGGGCCAGGAAATCCCGGGCGTGGTGCTGACATCTGCTCAGGGTGTGGAGCTGCAACTCAGCTCGGTGGAGGGACCCCAGGGGAAGTGAGCCTGCGGGAGAGGGCGGGCTCAGGAAGCAATTCCCTTTGTAATTTGCTCCCTTGATAAAGGCATCAAGGGCTCCGGATAACCTACTCCTCCTACCCGGTTCAGCACCGTCACAGTGGCTTTAGAAGGAACAAACCTCTCTCAAGCTGCAGCAGCTGGGAAGAGGGGAAGACTGTGCACTCCCAGGACTACGTACACAATTTGTCAGACTCTGCAAACTGCAACCAGACTCTGGGTTTATTTCTTTTAATATACGTTTTTTTAAAAGAAAGATTTTGTTGTTGTTGAAAAGGCAGATTATGGAGAGGAGAGACACAGAGAAAGAACTTCTGTCAAAAGTGGGGCAGCCAGGATGTGAAATGGTGCCCATATGGGATACCAGCATTTGCAAGGTGAGAATTCAGCCATTGAGCCATTGTGCTGGGCCCAGGGCATTTTCAGTTTGCTATTTAATTATTTAATATTGTGTTCCCTAAGACCACAGGTGATACTCTTGGGGTGAAGACAAATATTCAAGTCGTGCTCACTCAAGCCCCGGCCAGGGTTAGAGAAACTGAACCAGACACCTCTCTCCTGCTGTGGACTTGCTGCCCTGGGTAATGCAATCTCTGTGCCAAGCAGAGGTGGGAAATTGTGCCAAAAAGCAGGCAAGGGCCTCAGCCCAGGACCGCTTACCATGGAGGGCCAGCCTTGGAAGGCAGCAGGTACCTACTTGAGTGTCTGTGGAGTGTGTGTGCTAGATTTGAGTCCTCCCTGTGCACACACAAACTCACAGGAAGAACAGCCAGGAATGTGTTTCAAGATGGCAGAGCACTGCCAGAGAGCCCGTACGAAGTGGCCAGTGTGTGCCCCGCCCTGTTCCGTTGGATCTCATTGCAGGGCACGAATTCCTCACAGCATGGCTGACGGCGCCTGCAGGGCAACTGCAGATGGCTTTTCCAGCCGAGGTAGGGCCCTGCCGCGTGGGGGCGCTCTTGGCGAGCACTGGACACCCACCTGGCTGATGAACAAAGTCCTACATGGGAAGCAAGGTGTTGCCCCTTCAGTTGCGCCTGCAGGGACGGAGTGCAGACCATGACCCTGTGGTCTTAAACCCGGAAGGCCCAGTCCAGTGGCAGCTATCACAATCGCTCAAGCTCCCCCTTAGGTGTGGTTCTGCCAACTTACGAGACAAATGGGATTAGGTCTAGTGCCCCAGCCCAGCACTCTACTGCCAATACTGCTTCCCGTGAAGATTTTGTTGCCGTGACAACTGCTGTGGTTTCACACAACCGACCGACTGTGTGAGTCATATTTGATTGCTGATATAATCTGCCAGTTGAATAAAAGAAATTATAAAATAATTGGAAATTTGAATTGTGTCTGACTTTTCCCTCAACATCACATGATGAAAAATTACCAAGATACACAAAAAGGACAAGGAATCTTTCTTTAGAGAAGACAGCAGTTACCTACCTGGCTGGTGGATTCACTCCCCCAAATGGCTGCAATGGTTGGGGTTAAGCCAGGGGCTGAATCCAGGAGCCTGGGTTCAGGTATGTGGCAGGGGCCTCAATACCTGCGCCATCTTCCAGTGCTTCTCCTGAATAGATGGGCCAGGAGCTAGATCATAAGTAGAGCAGCTAGGATTTCAAACCAGCACCCATGGGCCTGGCACGATGGCTCAGTTGGCAAGATCCTCATATTGCAAGTGCCGGGATCCCATATGGGTACAAGTTAATGTCCCAACTACTCAGCTCTGGTCATTGTGGCCACAGGAGGATGAACCAACTGGAAGATACTTCTCTCTGTGTCTCCTTGTCTCTGTAACTCTCACTTTCCAATAAAAATCAATAAATCCTTCATAAAACAATTTAAATGGACCTGGTACAGTAGTTACTAAAGTCCTTACCTTGAAGGCACCAGGATCCCATATGGGTGCCAGTTCATGTCCCAGCTGCTTCATTTTCCATCTAGCTCCCTGCTTGTGGCCTGGGAAAGCAACAGAGGATGACCCAAAGCCTTGGGATGATGCACCCATGTGGAAGACCTGGAAGAGATTCCTGACTCCTGGCTTCGGATTGGCTCAGCTCTGGCCGTTGTGGCCACCTGGGGAGTGAGTCAACGGATGGAAGATCTTTTGCTCTGTGAATCTGATCTGCCTTTCCAACAAAAATAAATAAATCTTTGGGCCCAGCGCAGTAGCCCACTGGCTAAAGCCCTCGCCTTGAATGCACCAGGATCCCATCTGGGCACCAGTTCTAATTCTGGCAGCCCTGTTTTCCATCCAGCTCCCTGCTTGTGGCTTGGGGAGGCAGTCGAGGATGGCCCAAAGCCTTGGGACCCTGAACCTGTGTGGAAGACTCAGAAGAGGCTCCAGGCTCCTGGCTTCGGATTGGCTTAGCTCTGGCTGTTGCAGCCACTTGTGGAGTGAATCGTTGGACAGAAGATCTTCCTCTGTCTCTCCTCCTCTCTGTATATCTGACTGCAAAAAAAATAAATAAATCTTTTTTTTTTAAAGATTTATTTTTATTATTTTTTTATTGGAAAGGTGGACATACAGAGAGGAGAGACAGAGAGGAAGATCTTTCGTCCGATGATTCACTCCCCAAGTGAGCCGCAACGGGCCGATGCTATGCCGATCCGAAGCCAGGAGCCTCTTCCGGGTCTCCCACGTGGGTGCAGGGTCCCAAAGCTTTGGGCCATCCTCGACTGCTTTCCCGGGCCACGGGCAGGGAGCTGGAAGGGAAGTGGGGCTGCTGGGATTAGAACCGGCGCCCATATGGGATCCCGGGCGTGCAAGGCGAGGATCTTTAACCACTTGTGCCACCGCGCCGGGCCCAATAAATCTTTTAAAAAAATAAATACCTCACACTTTTTGTAGATCTGGTATCTAGGGGTGGTTTAGTGTTGTCATTGTCATATGACTCAAGACAGTACTGGGCCAGAACCCAGCAGGACCTGGCCTGGTGACAGTGGTGGAGGGCATGTGGGACTGACTTCTGGAAGCTTTGTTCCTGCCAGAACCTGACTTTGGTGTCACCCTGCTGCCACCTTGTGGCAGACACAGAACCACTTCCCAAAAACAGAAAGCAAAAAAAAAAAAAACCACTTCCCCTTAAACCTTAATTTGTTAGTTCTTTGGGAGAACAACAGAGAGAGCCAGCCAAGAGAAGAGGAGATGAGGGAGGGAGGGAGAGGGGGAGAGAGTACAGGAGAGGGCTCATCTGTTGGTTCACTCCCTAGATGCTTGCCGGGACAGGTCAAAGACAGGAATCCAGAACTCCATCAGGGTCTCCCACGTGGGATTCAGGGACCCAAACACGTGAGCTAACACATACTATCTTCCAAGGTGTACATCTGCAAAAAGCTGGATTGAAAGTGAAAACACTGGGCCTGGTGCCATGGCCTAGTGGCTAAAGTCCTTGCCTTGAATGCACCAGGATCCCAAATGGGCACCTGTTCTAATCCTGGCAGCTCCACTTCCCATCCAGCTTTCCCTACTTGTGACCTGGGAAAGCAGTGAGGACGGCCCAAAGCCTTGGGACCCTGCACCCGTGTGGGAGACCTGGAGGAGGTTCTTTGCTCCTGGTTCCGGATCAACACAGCACCACTCACTCACTTGGGGAGTGAGTAATTGGTTAGAAGATCTTCCTCTCTGTCTCTCCTCCTCTCTGTATATCTGACTTTCCAATAAAAATAAATATATATCTTTGCCTTAGAAGTAAATTCTAGTACTTTGGTTTTCATTTGTAATGAACATTTTAAAGACTAGATTTAAGTTTTACCTGCAAAGTTGTTGTTGTAAGACTTGCTTATAGTTACACTGAAAATTGACCCCCAGTAGTACTTAGAATATTGAAGTTATGAGTTAGTTGGTAAGGTGATCAGATTGATGAAATGTATATTGGTAGTTGAAATTAGCAAAGAAATAATCATAATTGTACCTTTATTTTTACAGGAGGAGATATAATTAGAGTGTCTACACTAGTAATAAGGGCTGCTATGAAAAGCCTTGCCATGGGAAGATGGAATTTTTTTCAATTATTAAATGTAAGTATTTTGGCCCTTCAACTTGGAGGAGTGCAAAAATGGAAGTTTCTTTTTAAGTACTTTCAGTGCTCAAATAATGCAATCATTGTGTTGTATATAATGATTCATAGGTCTAATCACTCATAAAAATTGACTCGAAGGCTTTTATTAAGAAAACAGCAGAAAGATTATATCTCGGATAAGTCAGGGAGGGAGGTGGGGGGAATACCCGCTGTACAGATGCACTGAGTTTTAAAGCAGTAATGAAATTCTACCTAGAAAGCAAAATTGAATATACGAACTTTACAGCATGTTGTTGTTTTTAATGTGCAGAAGATCAAAGCTCCTTAGGAGGAATGCCTACAATTTGCCAGTAAGCCACAAATTAAGATCATATCATATATAGTGGGCGGGTGGGAGCGGGTTGTGAAGATTTAGTGGGAGCTTACTAGAGAATTTTATAACTATTTTCAATAAAGACTTGTCTTGTATCTTGCTGTCATTGAAAGCAGTTTCTTTAGTCACTTAAGTATACCCACAAACAAGAATATGCAGATCTTTATTTGCCCTTGAATTTAATTGCTCACTTATACCTCAACGTTATAGCAACACTGTGGTACCTGACTGACCAGTGCCTTGATCTTATCGTATCTTATGTACTGACCTTAAGGAGACCTAAGCGCCCTTGGTTTCTTAGTTTGAATCACAGCCTTGAAGTGATCTTTCTCGTTTTATGTCCTTGTTCCTGATGTAAAAGTGTTTAACTGCTTCTTGGTTGTATTGGGTAGCACTGTAATAAGATTTTAACTGGGTATTCTTGAATTGCTTTTACAATAAATCAATTTTATAATCTTTAAAAAAAAAAAACAGTAAGTGAGGCAATAGGAATGCTTAATTTATTGAATTCTTTACTCTTCTGGGATGAGGTCTCCAATGTTCCATAACAGACATGATCAAGGGACGCTTTCTGACTTTAATTACATTAAAAATGATATAATATTGAGCCAGGTTTAAACTGCACATAAAGGCTTTTCTATATCCCCAACAATTGAGGTTTTCTAATCAGTATGAATTCTATAGTGTTCAATGAGCTGTGAGCCAAGAATGAAGGCCTGCCCGCATTCTCTACATTCATAAGGCTTGATACCTGGATGAATTCTCTGATGTTCGGTGAGTTGGGAACTGCGGATAAAGGCCATTCCACACTCCCTACACTCATAGGGCTTCTCCCAAGTGTGACTCCGCTGATGGTGGGTCAGTTGTGAAATGCGGATAAAGGCTTTCCCGCATTCCTTACATTCGTAGGGTTTGTCACCTGTATGAATTCGTTGATGCTGAATGAGGTATGAACTCCGACTGAACGCCTTCCCGCAGTGCTCACACGCGTAGGGTCTGTCACCAGTGTGCACTCTCGTGTGTCTGGTCAGCTGCGCATGCTGACGAAAGGCCTTCCCGCATTCCTTACATTCGTAAGGCTTCTCCCCTGAATGAATTCTCTGGTGTCGAGTCACTTCTGAGCTATGAATAAAACCCTTTCCACATTCCTTACACTCATAGGGCTTCTCCCCAGTGTGGATGCGCTGATGGACAGTGAGTTGTGAATGCTGTCTAAAGGCTTTCCCACACTCCTTGCACGGATAGGGCCTGGCACCTGTGTGAATCCTCCGGTGCACCGTCAGCTGGGAGCCACGGATGAAAGCCTTCCCACAGTCTTTACATTCGTAGGGCTTCTCGCCTGTGTGAGTTCTTTGATGCAGAATCAGTTGTGAATGCTGTCTAAAGGTCTTTCCACACTCCCTGCACGCATGGGGTCTGACACCAGTGTGCAGTCGCTGATGCGGAAGAAGTTCCGAAGCCCGTCCGAAGGCCTTCCCGCACTCCTTACACCCGTCAGGTTTCTCACCTGTATGAATCCTCTGATGCTGAATTAGGTGTGAGGCACGACTGAAGGCCTTCCCACACTCTAGACATTTGAAGGGCTTTTCACCAGTATGAGTTTTTTGATGTTGGATCAGGTGTGAGCCTCGGCTAAATGTTTTCCCGCATTCGTTACACCCAAGCCGTCTCCCTCCAGCCTTAGGGTTCTGCCACAGAGGGAGAGATGGATGGTGTTCAAAAGTGGGCAGGTTTTCACAGGCGCTTTTCCCGTGCTGGAAATGGCATTCTTGATTAATGTGTTGTCTCTCAAACTGACTCTTGCATTTCCAGTCATTTCTGAAACTGGTGACGTTGAGATCACAGCGCCGAAGGCTTTCCATTATCTCCCAGCTGAATGGCTCTATTTCAAAAATATCTCTTTGTGGGAATGTCTCACACCTGGATGCCAAATCTGAAAAGGGAGAAAAAAAGTAAATACAAGCTGTTCTGCTCTTCTATGAGAAATTAAATTTATTTTTACTTTGTAAGATAGGGAAATGAAATGAAAATAGTAGACTATAAAAAGTGACTAGCTTGTGTAAGTCTCAAAAATCATATAATTCCTAAAAAGGCCATGACAGCAGAAATATTGAAACCAAAGCTGGCTCTGAACCACCACAATGTAAAAGCATGGTTCAAACCCATGTCCCAGGTGTCCTTGTCTATTCTCTGACAAAAGGAATTCATCAAACTGAGGGAGGGGTAAGCTGATCCTCCAAGGTTCTAGTCACGGGCACCTGCCCCTTGGCAGACAAGAAGCTTCATGGCCAGTACTGTCCGGAGTGTTTCACCTGGGGGAAGTCCTGGAGAAAACCCCACTACCTTCATGCATCCCCCAGACGGGCTGGAGCCCACCTGAGCATTGCGATTTCCCCAGATATCAAGGCATCCCTGATCAAGCAAAGGAAGGTCACAAGCTCCACTGACAAACCGGGAACCTGGACACAAGCTGATCACGCACCTCTCAGCCCCAATTTCTGTCCCTAAGAACCTTCACCCCTAACTCCTTGGGGAGCCCGGCAATTAAGCAAAAGCTACCCAGCTCCTTGCTCTGTGCTTCGCAGTATATACCTACTCCCCTGTGTCAGGGATGGTCTTTCTGGAAAGGAAATCTTTTTGACAAAATTTTAAGGGTGTTCTTCAAATAGTAAAAAACAAAAATGATACCAAATGGAAATAGATATGACAATAGTAGAGAGGTAAGCGGAGGAATAACGGACAGTAATGTACCCAGAGGCTCCTGTATTGCCCAGCAAATCCTGGCCACTTACACTTGCTAACATTTATTTACTGACTTGGCACTGTTCTGGGCACTTCCACATAACTGACTCATAACAACTGTGAGGAGTAGATGAGAAAGACACTATCCTTTATCCCATTTGCAGAGAGGAAAACTGAAGCACAGAGACCTTACCTACTTCTCTCAAACTGACACGGTGAGTGGCAGCCCCAGGATAGAAATTCAGGCAGTCTCGGGGCCTATGTCCTCAACGACACAACCCTGCCTCTACGCAAGTCAAGAAATTGTTTAACTAGGTAAGATGAGTGGTGGTTTTAAGGTAACAAGCTTTTCTAAGGGATGAAGATATTTGCAGAAGAAAGCATTGAAAGCACAGGAGAGCTGGTGGACACTGTGGGAGAAAGGGCATGACCTTGTTCTAAAAGGGAGGGAAATGAGAGCCGAGAGGAATCAATGGGCGTAGGGGACGGGGTGCTTGGACGTTAATGTGGATCAGATCTTTGTCCTTCCCATGTTCCATCTTAATAAAGGTCTCAGGGCTTTCCTCCACAGCATGCCCTGGAGAGGAGGTGACTCCAGGCATCTCTTCCACTTGACTTCCCCCACAGTCACCTCCATCAGACTCTCCTCACTTACCTGGGCACCATGGTCCTGGAATATCATTTGCAACCATCCAGGGTTCTTTGCCTTGTTCCAATAAGGAGATGACAACAGGCTTAGAAACGGAAATCCCTGTGTGTAGGAAGAGAAACACGGGCATGTTCACCCTGTTGCAAAACTCAAACCCAGTCCTCATCACAAAGGGAGGGAAGAAATTGCAAGGAAGAAGGGTGTCCAAGGAATGGGAAGCTATAGGTGTTCAACAGCACCACCGGTTTCCAATTCCATGAAGCACAGAACACTTTCTCTCGGGAAGAGGAAGCAGGAACTCAGTCATAAAGTTCTCAGTTGCTCTAGAAATTCAGAGAAGGAATCAGAAATTCCAGAAAGCTATTCCTGAATCATGTGGAACAGACAACTAGGACGGTGATGCTCCCTCACCCTCTCCTTTGCCTTCATCCTTCAGTGCTCCGGGCCCTGCTCTGTGCCTCAGCTAACCTGCAACAACAGCACCGTCTGTTCCCTGGGATTTCTCACTGCGTTTGGTAATCAGAAAACATGAGCAGGAGAAGAGCGCGCGCGGGCCATTTCTGACCCCTTTTTCCCCATCCTTTGACACAGGAGTTTTGGAGGGAAGTTTGACTGCTGGGGCTGGGCACTTCTCTAGGGGCCCGCACGTGCACCCTGTTTTGCCCCTCAGGCTACAGGTAGAAAGTCCCGCACTGGTGCGGTCCCTGCTTCCTTATTTACTGCACGGTATCCTTACCTAGTGAGACCAAGTTGCCAAAGTTCTCCAAAGTCACCTCTCTGTACAAGTCCCTCTGGGCAGGTTCCAGACACTTCCACTCTTCCTGAGAGAACTCTATAGCCACGTCCCTAAATGTCAGCAATCCCTGAAACAATATGTTTATGCGTGACTGGCGAGTTAAAGGAATTCTATGATTTTTGGCTTTTATTATGAAATATTTTAAAAGATACAAAAATACAAATAGCACAGTGACCTCCATGAATATATCACTCAGCTCCAACACCACAAGGTTTGCATATTTTTTTGTAAGATTTATTTATTCATTGGAAAGTCAGATACACAGAGAGGAGGAGAGACAGAGAAGAAGATCTTCTGTCTGATGATTCACTCCCCAAGTGAGAGCAACGGCCGATGCTTTGTCGATCCGGAGCCAGGATCCAGGAACCTCGGGTCTCCCACATCGGCACAGGGGCCCAAGGCTTTGGACTGTCCGTGACTGCTTTCCCAGGCCACAAACAGGGAGCTGGATGGGAAGCAGGGCTGTTGGGATTAGAACCAATGCCCATATGGGATTCTGGCACGTTCAAGGCGAGGACTTTAGCCACCAGGCTACTGTGCAAGGCCCAGATGAATACCTTCATACATATTATTCTTTATGACACATGAGGTTACTTCAAGAAGTTAACGGAAAATAGGATTCAAAGGGATGCCTTTTGGTGCACAAAAACTTCCAAATCCATGCAGTTTATCATAATATACATTTGCATGAACTTTGTAAAATCCCCGTGAACATGTTTTGTTTTGTTTCTTTACAATGAGAATGAAACACAGATGCCATGGTTTTATCAGGTGAGCAGGACTTGTACATGATTTAGGTAAGTTTTTCTGCATATTCTTTGATAGTATGAGATGTTTTCTGATTTCTAGGAGGGGACACTTAAGAACATAAGAAAGACAGCAAACCACTCCGCTCAGTGAAGTTCAAGCTCTCACTGGCCCCATTTAACCACGCTGCTGAGGCGGGTTCTGTGTTTTCCTCAAGGAATACATTTCTGCAGTATCGGTGCTCTGCTCGAAGCACTGCACCCAGATGTGAGCAGCGTGAGAGCAGAGCGGGGTCACTAAATGGGGGGCGGGCACTACCACTTAGCTGCTAGAATGGGGAGACTGGGAGCAGGTCGCAGAGATTCGGTGCAGTGGGAGGGAAGTCTGACTGGTCCAAGGAAACAGCGCATTTCAGCCTACCTGAGCCATGGCTTCCGGGTCGACCTGGCCTGTTCTGTTTCTCTAGCTTCTTCTCTTAGCCAAACGCAGAACCCTGAAAAAGCAGAATGGAGAGAGGGGGTAAATCTTAGATAAATGGGAAACCCCCATGCGTATGAGCATAAGGCAGGCGCACCCCCCTTGCCCTCCCTCTGTCCTATGTGAACTCTAACATTGAGAACTACAGAACTAACACATCCCAGCATCCTTCTGAACACCAGTTCTCAAGACAGACGTGCATCAACACCGACAAGTACCTCCGGCCAACACAGCACACCACCTTACTGATGCTAATCCAAATCCCAGATGGGGCCTGTATGACATCTGCCCACTGCAAACGGCAGCAAGGACAGTCCTTCCCATCCGCTTCACTCCTTAAGGACAAGGACACCACCACCAGGCTAGGAGCACAGAACATCTATGCAGGCCACAACTTGAGTAAAAGACATCTCTGAAACTTCTAGGTCCTTTGAGTCAAAGGTCCTGGGCACCTCATGGCTCCCCTTCCTCCTTCCTTGTTTAAATTGGGGCTCTATGGAAAGTTCTATCAACAGCCTTCAGCGCCAGTGGTGGACACCAGACAGGAGCAACAAAGTCACAGCAACACTGTCATCTTATTTGCACACCCACACATCCAGAGTACTGACTTCAGTGGAAACCCAATTTCTAGAAGGTTCTTAGCCCAGCACTCTTGATTTCCCATCTAAGCTCACCCTACTGCGGTTCTGTAGAATATCACTTCTCCGTGACCGTGCGGGCTGGCAGTGTTACGAGTCCTGTGAATGGCCTATTTCTCAAGGCAATGGAAACTCAGGATTTTAAGGTTGATTCTCACTAGAGAGGTCAGAAGTTTCCTACGGCTGTGTTGGCAGGAGGGTGATCAGGAGGAAGATCAATTTAACCAATAAGAGGGATGTCAAGGGAAATTTTCTGTAATGTGGAGAATATGAATAGGTTTATTAAAAAAAAATTCACAATATCTGGGCCTGGTGCGATAGTGTAGCAGCTAAAGTCCTCGCCTTGAATGTGCTGGGATCCCATTATGGGTGCTGGTTGTAATCCAGGTGGTCCCACTTCCCATCCAGCTCCCTGCTTGTGACCTGGGAAAGCAGTCAAGAACAGCCCAATGCCTTGGGACCCTGTACTCATGTGGGAGACCCGGAAGAGGCTCCTGGCTTCATATTGGTTCAGCTTCGGTTTTGCGGCCACCTGGGGAGTGAATCAATGAATGGAAGATCTTTCTCTCTGTCTCTCC